CAATGATGGCAGCGGACGTGGAGGACACCTGGACTTGGAGCTCACGGGTGGTTTTCTTGAGCAGCCTCCAGCACCTGCCTTCGGAACCTGCTCCAACCCTTCTAGGATCGCTGAAGGCCCCGTTGAGGTGACAAGCACAAAAAACGTTTGCACACAGATGCTGCACTGTTGCTTGTTTTGTGCACGGGTCCGGTTGCCCAAGTTCGTGGAGCTAAACCTGAACTGCTCGGCATACGGTAAACGTCTACGTCGTGCACAGGCGATTGTTCAACATTCCAGCTCGTGCGGGTTGAATATCAAAAGGCGTTGAAGTCCTGCCAACATGAACAGTCAAAAGGCAAAGGGCGGGTGGACTTGAAGGTCGAAGCCATTAATTTATCATTTGGGCAACCCAAGAAGTACCTACTCTTTACGTGTGTTCAAAACCGCCAATGCCAAAGAACACACTGAAAGAAGCATCTTTCTCTTGTGTCTTTGGGACTTACAATTTGAGTTCATAACGGGCACCGCACCAACGTGCACGCCTCTCACATGTCAGATGCGGATGTTTAACGGGTCGGGCGCCCAGAACGGAGGGCGGCGAGGCTTTTTGGAAACCATGAGCAGCAGTAGCAGGAGTAAGTAGCAGTCAGTAGTATATAGTAGGAGTAGAAGTAGTTGAATTAGCAGCAAAAGCAGTAGGGGCCTTTGCAAAGCTTTCGCCGGCATGCACTGTACTGGCAGAAGCAAAACCAAACACCAGCAGCATCATGCCCCAACAAGAAGAAACCTCTACGAGAACCTAGTTTCCGTGGCAAGTGACATCTCCACCATCCCTGCCTCCAACACGTCAGAGAATGCAAAAACTGAGACCGGCGGCAGCTTCAACTCGCTCGCCTCGCGGACCCCAAAACCGCTTTGTTTTCGCGGTCGGCTTCGACGAGTTCTCGCACACCCAAAACGGCTTCGACGAACTCGTCGCAGACGAGAACTCGTCCACTCGAAACTCGGATGTCGACATGGATCGAGGCAACTCGGAGCCAGGGCACATGTGTTGCTGCTGCAATGGCTCGAAGTTCGGACGCCAAGGTGGGGGCAGCACGTAGCGTTCTCGCATCAAGTAACCTGACTGGCGATCTGCGCAGAGCGACAGAAACTGCACTTGGCTGTTCATCACAGTTCTACACAATCAAGTGGCAAAGGTTCAAGCTGTTGAGTATTTACCAAGAATCACAGGCCCAAAGGCACTACGTAGCAGCCTTTACCAAGGGTGACGATCAGCCTGAGTTGGCGCAGCGTCTGGCCGGGCAGCAGAGTTGCATACGAAAGATCTCTGCGGAACTTCTGCACAGCTTGAGCAGACCAAACCTCAGAGCTTGACGGAAGGATCAAAAACGTTTGAGTCGAAGTGGCAATGGCCTAGAAATGAACGATGAAAATGCGTGTTGTGTCCAAAAGGAAACGACGCACAAAAACATACCAAACACAAAGATGGAGTTCCAATTCCGGCGATTCCTTTCTCTTCACTGCGTTGAAAAGAGCCGGTTTCAAATCACGACGTTTCGACAAGGACAACGTTCTCTTATCCCTTTCTATCTCTCTCTGTCCCTTGAAGTCCGCACCCGCAGCTTTGCTAGCTCCACAGCGCGCCCTCCCGGGGCCAAGGTGGAAAGTCCTCAACATCGCAAGCGTGCCAGTCTATATGTAGGTTGTTTGTGTTGTGAATGCTCTTAGACTACATTGTCACATGTTTTGTGACCTGTTTCCTTGATGTTTGTCTTGTACACTGCTCCGAGCATGGTGCGGAGCATCTTTTGCTCAGCAGAGCATCGTCCAAATCGGAAGCCAAGAAGACACAACAACCCACCAGTGCTGTGACCCAAAATGAGCAACCCAAAACACACATGAAGACACAATCTCTAGTTTTTATCCGCAAGGAATCATGCGCAAGCCAATCAACCTTTTCCTGATGCCAAATATGATGTGGGAGCTGCTTGTACATGCATGATTGTGGAGACGGAGAGGCTAATTCATGCTGCACCGGGAGGTGCTTGTTGGAGTATATCAATGTTGCCCGGCACGGTGCCACTGGTGAGCGTCGCATGTTTGTTCATACAACTCTAATAGGTTAGCAACCAATACTATGGGATCCACGGAGGACTAGGCAGAAAGGTGATTTAGTTTTAAGGATTTGTATATCATGTAAACAAAAAGCCAGATGTTACATCTCTCTCTCTCTCTCTCTCTCTTTGGTTTTGTGCTTTGGTAGTACTTGTTTGCAAAGCACACGCACAGCACACATGGCATGTCACCTTGCCAAAGGCCATGGTGTCACAAGTGCAGCACAGCTCAAACAGTGCGGGTACTGTCAGGGCGGCTCACTTTCTCGGCGTGAGTTCTGAAAAGTGGCATGTGCGCCGCTGTGCGCCATGGCGCCATGTGGTGTACCTTCGCATGGAAAAAGAAATCGTGAACTTCTTACAAGATCCTTGCAATCTGTGAAGGTTGCCCTGGAGCGTCGCCCTCCCTCCACGAACCTTCCGGAACCTTTGCCCGAAAGCGGGCATCGCTTCGAAATCGCATAAAGCAACGCCATGCCGAGTTTGGCAAAGCTTGTCAACAATTTCATTGAAAAAGAAGTTATGTTGGCAAACACCACTGGAATATATTTGGTCCCTTTTTCTGAAAGAGTGGTTACCAACTAAGCTACACATGCCATTGCTCAGAAATCTTCACCCAAAATCTTGTTGATAAACATGTGGCAAAGTGAAAACAGAAGTAAACTATAGTAAACTCCCAGCTCATAATATTTTCGCAAATGTTCGGCTGCTCAGATGCTTTACAGCTGCGCACTCTATGCCGACCTTCAATGAAAGGCATTCGATGGGCTGGCAGTTTCGCCTACTCTGAAAAGGCTCTGATAAAAAATGTTCAAACAAAGAGTCTTGCGAACTTCAGCGTCACAGTCCGTCACTCGAGCGGGAAGACACTTTGAAGGTGGTGGTACGGTGGGCGATATGACGACCTTGTCGAGCCTCCTTCGACCTTGTACTCCGAAGCCTTTTCAGCGAGGCGACTCACCAAGCTTGTCCAGCGCTCGAGTGGTCCGCTAGCTGCTAGCTTTGCGAGGCGTTGCCCCTACGCTTCGGACCCTGCCAGCATCGCTTCGGACGAACCGTCCGTCCGGCGCGTGAAACGGCGAATCCACGGCGAATCCGGCGAAACGCTCCGAAAAAGCAGCAACGTGCGCGCCGTGACTGCGACGTTCCGATACTGAAAGATGAGCTGTGTTCTCTGCACGAGGGGGTTTTCGCCTTTGACTCATATCCAGGCGTCAAGTCAAGACCTGGCACATAACAAGATCATACCATGGTTTGTGCTCAGAGCAAGCAACAACCAGAAAGCTTGCAATTCAATGAGAAACAGCCATACGGAAAAATGCAAATAATAGCGTGTACTGCTGGCCTCTGTGCTGATTACAAGTCGGTTGTGGTTGCGTTCAAGGCAAAAGCGATACTGTGCAAAGAAGGTTTTAGCTGTACTGGCCATACGTGATACGTGTGGCCGGCAGGTCTGGCCACACAAGCAAGGCATGTTGGGGTTTCTTCGTGACATCAACTGCCACAGTCCAGCACATCAACCTGTATCTGGGGCGTGTGACAAGTCGGTCAGCTCCAGCAAGAAAACCACAAAATGGAAACGATCAAGATTTGCAAAGAGCAAAAGATACAGACAAGCAGCCAAACAACAAAGACATAAATTCTATTTTGTGCATAAATGCTCTTCATGACAATTCAAAAATGCCAAAACAATAAAAATTACACAATGCGTTGTCCCTTAGCTTGTCCGTTCAATTCTTCGAAGAGAACGTCCTCTTCTCAGAACAAAGAATGTCAGCTATGTGCTCTATCTCGTTTGGGTATGGGAATTTGCACTCCTCTCGGGATGAAATCGTCGTGCGTTAGCTGTTCACCACCACATCGGCCCCAAGACATCTGGTTGGTAGGCTGGCCAAGAAGTCCCAAAGAAACCTCGGAAAAATGCGACTCATCTACTGCTCATCTGCTGTGCGTGGAGCAGCTCTACTTTGCTCTCAAATGTAGCTCCGTGCGTTCTGCTCCAATCTATCTCCAAAGGGCGCTTGACCATCGCGGGTGCTCGAGACAATGTGTACACCGCGAAGGCGGAGAAAGCATTGCTTCTTGGCCTTAGACAGAAACCAAGGACTGGCTGGTTGGTCAGTCCGACTTGGCTTCTTCGAAACACCATCCGAAAATCCGCTTCAAGGGTGGTTGACGTCTTCCGTCTCCATATGATGTTCTTCTTGAAAAAGACACACGCTACGGCGTGCGGCGTGCGCTTTTCACCCATGCGGAACCAGTACAGAGCCGGCTGGGAACCCAGCACTTCCTGCTGTGGCCACTGGCCAAGCACCACAACGGCGAAGAGCCGCCAAAGCTGCGCATCCGGTGCCACCTGGTCCGACGCATCCGACGCCTCCGAGTCTCCGAGCCACGGCCCGTTCCAAGCGTCCCTCCGTTCCTAGCGATGCCAGGAGCCCCGTTCGTAGCGTCCGTAGCGTCCTAGACGACTCCGGGCCTGTGCCAGCTTGGATGACCACCAAATCCCCATGAACGACTCGTCCAAAATCCATGGCGCTGGCAATCGTCCTGCACAGACAGACCGAGAGCAGACAGACCACACGATGCTCAATCCATAAAGCATCGTCAATAGTTTCAACATCATATTGGCAACATTGCTCAGAAATGCTTAAACAAATGCAAGGATAGACTGGTCAAACTGCTTGCAAAGAACCTCGTAATTGAAGCTGGGGTACAAAGCCACTGTGGGCAAGGATGAAATCGTTTGAGCATGAAGATCATCCAAACCTCTGGGGGTCAAAGCCGCAAACCAGCGTGAGCTGGAAATGTAAGACCTCGGGTCAAACAATTCGAAGAAATGACTGTATTACAAGCAACCAAGACCCCGCAACCGAGGGGGCTTGGCAGTTTTCATTTCTATCAGGGGGTCTTTGGGGGTCTCCCTATTCTAATGCACATCCAAGTGTTCCTTCGGCAACAAGCTTTTGCTTCCCAGGCAAGCGGCTGCAAGCTGCCTTCTGCCACACCGAAGACCTCATCCCCACAGCGCATCGTCTTGCTGGTAGATTCCACCACCAAGCCTGCCTCAGGCACAAGGAATCTAATCCATTGCAACGTCTAGCTGTTGCTTCTTCCTCAACCTGTTCAAGAAGGGTGGCGAAAGGGGAGAGCTGCTCGATGGCCAGAAGACGATGGAAAAACACGGTTTGCTGCTCGAGCGAAAGTGTGTGTGTGTGTGTACACTTCGGCATGGAGACCTATCAGCAAGTCTCCTTTTCGACCGGCCGGCACACAGGCCTCAAAGGCCAGTAACACAACCGCAAAATAGCTCAAACGTAAATCTACGTGAGCTGATTAGAATGGTCAGAGGCCCTCAGAAAGCTTCAGTGACATCGCAATTCTCTGTCACCAAATCCGAATTGACCTTTGTACTGATCAAACATCGCCTTGAGCTCTTCAACGTAGATCGCATGCCATTTGACCAGGTCTTCCGATGTAGGATCTTGGATCACTGGTAGGTCAATGACCTCACCAAGGTCTGAAAAAAGAACTGAAGACTCTAAGACTCTTAGGCACGTGACAACTAACATGAGTCTTTCTTGAGCCAGCTTCCTAGCGAACCCAGCGAAGCATGCGGAGTAGCACAGCAGCACCTTGTTGTCCAAATCTATGACATATGACTTATGACGTATGACTTAAAGAAGCAAAGTTGCTCGTGAAACAGCATACTGTATATTCGGTGTAACAGAGCTGATGCAAAGGTGAAGTCCAAAAGGAATGGACATGGTGTTTGAGCAGAAACTTTGCAAATCTTCCCCTCGCAAACTCGCAAATATCGCAAATCCGCAAATGGTTCTCTGCCGAGGCTGGCACTCTGCCATAGACGGTGTTCAAACCGCCACCTCTGGGCAGCAGTGGGCAAAAGTTCTTGCCCCAGAAGAGTGGTAGCACAAAGCCGAAACCTCAGCTAAGGATTACAAATGGCACAAGCTGAACAAGCTCTGATGCACAAGGTCTTCTTGCTCGTCCGTTCTTGCACATGGCGTTCCACACAAGTCGAGAAACGCTTCACCAGCCATAGATTCAACGGTCTTAGGCATGACAGGCTGTAATATTGATCGTTTTCACCAAAAGTGTAGGCCAAGATCAAACAGTATCCATGCTGGAGAGCATATTTTATGAAACCATAACGAGAATTGATGTAGACATTCTCCTTGCCATGCTCGTGGATTGCTACATCCTCGCTTCCACCCGGAATAATTCCAAAAGCCGTCTTTGCTGCTAATAGCTTCTTCATATTGCCTGGCAGCTGTGCGGGATAAGCTTAAGGTCAACACTCGAAGAAAGACTTCATATCCAATTCTAGACATGTTGGTCCAGCGTGGCGGAGAAGATTCATAGAATATAACGTTTTTGTGTACATATATATTATATATATAATTGTATTTTTACAGTAGATCAAAGAAAATATCAATAATTCAAAAAATGTAGGACCTCCCATACGACAGTCCCGAAACAAGTGGCAACTCTCCGTCACAATGACTATTATGCGAAATAACGACAATGATAATATGTAAAACATTGAAAAATGATCCTTTGGTGTAGATAAGGGTCTTTTGGTGGCAGGTGTGCACCTCAGTCGCTGAAAAATGCTGCAAGAACAGATGCGCATAGCCGCATAGCTGCATAGCTATACTGAGGCCTGTGCGCATCCCACATCCGGAGAGCTGGAGCAAAGAAGGGTACACGCCAAAGAACTGGAGCTTGTACACCATTGCAGTCCTCACAAGGAATTCAAAAGTCTCATTCGTGTGCAGCTGATTTCGGGGCTCTTTTGCCAAGTGTTTCAGCCTTCGACATAAACGACTCCCCAGTACTGCGTCCTTTGGGAAGTTGAACGACTCCGGGAGGAACTGGGTTGGCTCTTCAGCTTTAACCCTCAAGGCCCTGAGGCAAGTGCTGCACGAAGCATGCGATTAGACAATATGCACTTTGCGGGTCCGAGAACAAAGAACTAACACATGCAACAATGACTCACGCACTAGGCAAAACACCATGTTGATTATATGTTCTCGCGAAGTTGTTGGACCAAGTTGATACCAAGTTGCCCGTTGAAGCTGAATCCCAACGGCAGAATCCCATGCGGGTGAAAGCAAACCCTTGGATTCATTCAAGCATTACGTCCAACAAAAGAACAGATAGTGCTTCGACACAAAAACTTGCCAGACTACTGGTAGCTCAGAAAATGACACAAAGAAGCTATTGGGTGTAGTCCATATGCTTCACACAAAACACATAAACTTGCTTGCTTCCTTCGCACGTGAACTGTTGCAGGCTTCAGGCACAAGTATCCTCCAGCTTGAAGACGTTGGAGGATCTTCTCCGGTACCCAAACAGTAGATCCACCCACGCATGCTGCGCTTCCCAAGTAGAAGCGGCAGAAGGATGGAGAGTGACTGAAAGGAACCAAAACGCTCAGCACGGCCATAGAAAGGAAAAACACAGCGGTGCCAGGTCCTTGTAGATGATACAAGGCCAAAGTGATGAATGGACTGAGGGCACCAACTTGCAAACTGCCCCAAACTAAGCTGTGTGCAAGAGCCCCTCTCAAATAGCTGGACCAAGAGATTGAAGGACCCAAGCTGGACTCAACTCCACTGGTGCCAAAGCCGTCGCCAATCCTGTGGCTGTGCACTCGGTCCGGCTCCAAAAGTCCATGAGCACCCATGGGAACGGCCGAGTGGGAACGGCGTATTCGGAACCGACAGTGGTCACGGTGACCATGCGTATTCTGCATATGCGTCCGTCGTGGGTGCTTTTCTTCGTTAGATTCGCTGCGAAAGCTAGAGATTCGCGAAAGCAGTCACAGCAGAGCTCTACTTTGTGCCCATGTTGCAATCTCCGCAGATCATTCTGTGGAATGTCAAGTGAATCTCGCATGGTCTACTTGAGCACTCAGCACCCAAAACTACCTCTCTGGCATGCACCGTCTCAGTGACCGTCTCTCTGCTGAAGTGACCGTCTCTTTCTAAAAGCTTTCTTCAAGCTTTCTTCAGCTTTCTATCTGAGGATTCGGACAAAATCGCTGCCTGGAGCACTCCCAGTCTGAACCACTGCCCTGTGCAGAGAACAAAACAGCTCGACTGGACTTCTTAGCATCTTAGCCAATGCGACTTCCTTGCAGCCTCAGCCCTGCCAATGACTCACAGCAAGCTTGCTTCTTCTTCCATCTCACTTTGCTCGTTTGTTGAAGTAATCCATACATACTGCTTTATATATATATATATATCATTGCTTGAGTAAGATTGCTTCGTCCGTTGCTTTGTCATTAACCTTGTCTTTCAGCTTCGTCCACTCTGCCTTCCGGCCACCGTGCTTGGCATGGCCCCCATGACCTCAAAGCAGCCGCCCAAAGCCGAGCGGATTGACAAGGGCCGTGCGCGGCCAGAGAAGTCGTTGCAGAAGCTTAAACACTTTACTGAACGTTGTGCATGGCTTGATGTGACAAAGACATCATGAAACATTCGTCACTTGTACGCTCTAGGAACTCACCTGAATAATGTCAAAGAAGTTCAGGGCCACAGCCATAGTCCTGCCAAGCACGGTTCGTGTGGCTTCGCCCATTTCAGGGGTCACGTCCTGTGAACGGTAGATCAGTAGATCAAAAAAGATGTATCGAGACTACTTGGCACCACTTTCTTCATGCAGCCCTAAAAACCACTAGCTGAAAAATACGACTATACGCGAAAAAAGAATGCAAGTGCAGGAGGCTTTTCTTCTGATAGCGGCTACGGCTACTGGGTCCTCACCACAGCTAATCCACCACAGGTATCCTTAGTTGAGCTTCCACCACATGTCGAAAATAGTTTTGATGTCCTTGTGGAACAAAACACTTTGATCTACAGACAGTGCAAACAAGGAGCCAAACCTGGCGCAGGTCGAGCCACTAGCTTTCTTGATAAGGTCGGATTCCGACGTCGCTTGGGCTCCCTCAAGAGGGAGTCAGGGTCGGCTCAACGGTCTCTCTGAAATGACACTTGGTGCCCGCTGTATCCCTGAAATGATTTAAAAGTCTCTTTGCACCATCGCAATTAGAGAGAAACAGACTTTGGCCTTGATGGCTTTCAAGTTCAAGGCTCACGGATGCCTTTTTCATGAAGTCTTTCAACCAACGACATGGCCGTTTTTGGAAAGGTCGCTTCAAGGGACCCAATTTCCTTTGCCAGGTCAGAGCAAGAAGGACAGGACTAAGTCGGACTAGTTTGTTGTGAGACTAAGCATGAGAGAAATCCGAGCAATTGCACTGCAGTGACTGTGAGCTGCCGAAGCCAAGCGGACTTGGGACTGAGCGACGCACAACTCGCAAGCTCTGCTGCAAGACGCAGCAGAACTCAGGGAAATTGACGTGCACTCTGATATTCAGGGCAGGTGCAAAGAGCAATCATCATCCGGAACCAGCAGCAAACTCTGAAACAAAGAGCCAAAACCGAAACTTCTGACTTGAAGAGTTGCTAGCCTAGCTTGAACTTGCTAGACAAGCTCTGTGTTCATGCTTGGCCAGTATAGGCAAGGTCAAACGCGTGGCATGTCTTCCCCTTTCGGTTCGGTGTTGACCAACTTGAGCGGTCTCAGGGGTGTTAGATGCCCACGAGTGGTCTCATATCGTTGCAAAAACGGCAGAGGAGAAGGTCCAACGGTGGATCTGTGTCTGCACGTGCGCGTTTTCGTCGCATTCGCTGTCTCTTCTGATCTTCCAGCTGCATGGTTTTTCATGCCGAAGACCGAAGAAGAAAATCGGCCCAAGTGGTTCCAAGAAGCTGTCGTTCGAAAGCCTGTGGCACTTCCTGAGCCATGATGGGATATCCTTCCACAGAACCTATGGAACCGGGTTTCGAGAGACCTCTCGACTGGCCTCAAATGCCCCAAAAGCTGCTAGCCTTAACAAATGATTTGTATCGACTGCCTTAGACTTTTCACTTCGACTGGCAGACCTGGAATCTCAAGTCTCAAGTCTTTCACGTATCTCAAAGTCCGCATCCGTCTTTCACGTAGAACATTCTTAGAGGTTCTCACAATGGTATGTGTTAATTGATCTCATGCCAAATCCTGCAAACCCGATGGGCACTCATTGGTCTATTGCTGGTGCAAAATTAATGAAACTAGGCAGGCTCTTGCCGGCAAGACAAAGTGTGAAGGCTCCTCAATGTCATGCACATCATACAGGATCAAGCAGGGCTACAACTCCATTCAAGAATGCCTTTAGAGGTTACACATCTGCTCCTTTTAGTCTAGATAGTGGAGCCAAAAAATTTGAGTTGCCATCAGTCATGCAAATCAACAAATGCACCTCCATTGATACCATGGGAGACTTCTGCGTGCAGCTCTGAATGCATGCAGTGCTCTTTGAACGCTCGTGCTTCCAACTCGCACCAAACAAAATGACAAATCTTGCACTAACCTTCTCGGCTTGTGCTGCTTGCGCTCTGGACCCGCCTTCTTTGCTTGGTGGCTTTGTCGATGGCAAGAGCAGCAAAGCCCAGCGATTTCATCCCGAAGTAAGAGCAAAAGGGACTTACGCAACATCTAAGAAGCCACCCCCTACCTTCGCTAAACTCTGTCGGGACATCAACAGCACTGAGCAGGTGTGCCACGCTGAAGCACAGAGTTGAGAGGGGCTGGAAAGCAGTATTGTGAAGCTGAGTATTGTAAATAGGACCTTGTGCAACACCGTTTGCCTCTTCCAAGAGATTGGCATCTCCCTTGAGCGGAATCAAATGCATTGAGATGCGAGGATTTGCATGGAGATCTCAGACAAAGGCTTCGGCCGGTGAGATTTCAACCGCTTGCGAAAGCGCCGCTTCTTCAAACGAACTCCCTCATTCAGCTTCACAACTTCAGAACCAGAGAGCGAAGAGCTGTCAAGTGGGGGACAAACACTTTGTCAGGGTTGGAAGCTGGGCAAGTTATGCAATCTGTCCAGTCCAAATGTTCACCTTGGGTAGTGCTATTCCTAAGGCCAAGCCGGCCTTCTTTATGACGGTGATGGCAAAGATGTTTGCCGTTGGGGACTTTGTGATGTCCAGAATTTGACACGAGTTCCGCCAAAACGTACAAACCTGAGGTCCAAATACAAGGCTCGATAAATCGGTCGTTTGGGATGAACGTGAACGGAGCGCTTGACCTTTCCGACGGCCTGTTCGCTACCTTTTGAGCCTTTGGAGTGGACGCGGCCTGTCACATTGAAAGCGGTGCACCCGGAATGGCACTCCTTTGCCTTGGCTGCACGCGAAGTCTTGGAAAGCTGCCCCAAGAAAGGTGTTGAAAATCAGAAAACTCATCACAAAATCAAAGCTTCCCCTCCATCCAGCTACTTAGCAGTCAATGCAGAATCTCCAGTTCAAACTTCTCAATCAGAAAAGTCCAGCACGGCCACCATCCGGGCTCAGGACAATTTTGCCTTGGCTGATCAGTTCGGGCTCTGCCAACTCATCGAATCACCGCACACGAAAAATCCGCCCGGAGGTGCCGAGGGCGTTCTTTGGGCTCGTGTAAACATCGCAAGGAATCCGGCTAGTTAAATCCTAAGCTTTAGCTTGGGGGGGGGGGGCACACTTTTCTCCTAGAAATGCTGTGTTTTTCAATAGTGTTCAATGTTTTTTGAAAAGTGATCAAAATTGGACCAAACAATGGCGATGCCGGCTATGCTGGTCGGGACAACGCGCATTATCGACATCGCAGACGTCTCGGCAAGCCAAGGGCATTGGATCAGACGTTGGCGACGTCGGTTATGCCGGTCGGGACGGATCGCATTGACGACATCGCAGACGTTTCGTAGATAGATAAGTAGATAGACGGAGAGATAGCTAAATAGATACATAGGCTGATAAATAGATAAATAGATAGGTAGATAGACGGCAAGATAGCTGAATAGATGGATAGGCAGATAAATAGATAGATAGATAGATAGCTAAATAGATAGATAGATAGATAGATAGATAGGTAGATAGACGGAGAGATAGCTACATAGATAGGTAGGTAGATCAATAGATAGATAGATAGATGGATAGATAGATAGATAGATAGTAGATAGATAGATAGATAGCTAGATAGATAGGTAGAAAGACGGAGAGATAGCTAAGTAGATAGACGGAGAGATAGCTAAATAGATAGGTAGATAAATAGACAGATAGATACATAGGTAGATAGACGGAGAGATAGCTAAATAGATACATAGTTTGATAAATAGATAGATAGATAGATAGATAGCTAGCTAGCTAGATAGATAGATAGATATATAGGTAGATAGACGGCGAGATAGCTGAATAGATAGCTAGATAAATAGATAGACAGATAAAAAATAGACAGATAGATAGACAAACCGAAAATAGATAGATAGATAGATCGATAGATAGATAGGTATAGATATTATGTACATCGCAGAAATCGCAAACGTCTAGGCAAACCGTGGGACACTGTACGATTGATATCGTGGATGTGTTCGGTCGTGTGCCCAGTCCGACTGGATGAGGTGAATGGTTGTGGTTTTTGATGCCCACACCATGCGCTCCGCCCACCCAGAACCATCGGATGGCCTGAATATTAACCTTTACGCCTTGAAACATAAACTCTCTCAAATGACTGCGATCTGTGCGGGCGGCTTCGACCGCGAAGCGGTGTGAATACTGCCCTCTGCAAGCTATGTGCCAGACTATGTGCAGGGTGATGTGC